AACCCAGGCCCTGGGCCGCCTGTGTGAATGTATGGAAAGCAGGCCCTGGGCTGGATACGGGTACTGGGCCGAACACAGGCCAAAGGCAGTTGGGCGCATGCAACCAGCTCAGGCCCAAGCCCTGTTTTTGAACGTGCTGGGCCTCAGGCTGCCGGGGCCTACAGGAAGCTTCTTGGGACTGGACGCAGGCAGGCCACTTCGATATAGCAAAGGGCCTGCCTCCTCATTGGTCATTCGGGTGCTGGCTGCATGCTGCGCAAGCGCTGCTGCGCTATTTTGCTGGCTGGCGCCCACACGCTCACGGGCGAGCAGGGAAGGAGCAGGCAGCCATAGCCGAGCTGCGCTGCTGTAAGCTGGGTGTGGTGCAGGGTGGTCATTGGGTGCAAGTGGCATCTGTGTGCTGGGGAACGAGGTTGTGAGTAAGGCGAGAGACATACCTGGTGCTGGAAGCGTGCGACATTGGTTGCTGTATGATCGTACTTCGGAGAGCTGTTGTCGTCAACTTCGGCATTGTAGTATAGGCTAGATAGGATCTGCCACATGTAGGCTGGGTGCCGAGCGCCAGATAGGATATCAACTCTGGTTCGTTGATGATGATGATGGGACTACTTCAGCATTGTCAATTATGAACTCTTGGTGTGTTCTTATTTGGTGAATCTCGTGATGCAATTCTGCTGTTGGTTCGAGGTCACGACTATCAGGACTCATATGTATGATGCTGTTTGATTGCTGAAGTTCGCTATTGCTCATCTTCCTTGCACTTGGCACTGGCCCCAGGTAAATTCAGAGTTATTACGACTCCTCTCCTCCTCTGATTCCATCGGAATTCGAACGCAGGTCTGTGTTTTAGGTGTGCCAACTGAGCTAGCCCAGTTGGAATTTCCTCCGCCTCTGCTTTCCCAACCATTCTTTCCCTCCTTTTTTTCTTTTTTTGGAAAGCGACGGGGCCTTGAGATATCATCATTGAACTGACAGGCGCTAGGTAATTCAGAACTGTATCATCATTGAACTGACAGGCCCTAGGTAATTCAGAACTGTATCATCATTGAACTGACAGGCCCTAGGTAATTCAGAACTGTAGTATTTCAGTCATTTGACTTCAGTGGAGTTCGGACTCAGGTCTGTATTTCGACAGTTCAGGGCTGTACGGTGCCCTCGACAACCTAATTGAAGTCCCTTTTCGTGTGGTAAAACCCCTGCAGGGTGTAGAGCTCCATCTGAAGCAGGTGAAAACGACAAATGTACAGGGTTGGAGTGCACTGTCTGGAATCATTCTGGGAGAGTGGCTTGAAGATGTGTCCCATAATCAGGTACGGCACCCTGAGAGAGTGTGTGTTCCAACATACCCCATGCCACGCCCTGCCATGCCATGTTGCTTCACAAAAAGATGCCTGGTATACCAGATCCGACCATAACCAATCCAACTTTTTATGCTCGTATGTGCCGATGATTTTTGGTTCACCAAACGCTTACTAGGGTTTCTATTCCAAAATCGAATTCATCATTTCCGGTTTTCCTTTGTTCTTCCAGTTCATGTTTTGAACAAATGAATTGAGTTTTCAGCCTCACTATTGGTAGCAACACAGTGCTGGGCCGGCAACTGGCCGGTTGAGCTACCCCGGTCCAACTGGAGCCAGAACAGCCCAGGGGGGATGAACCAGGAAACCGGTTTTGAAAAAAAAGTGCCCAAATATCTTCTTTTTTCTTTTTTTGGGGGGGGGGCAGATTCCGACTGCGCTCTTCAAGAGCTGTCCGAATCTGCAATAAAATTTTCAAGGTACAATATTTTTCAGGGGTCTTCCAGAGGGGGACAGGGGGTTATTATTGACATATTCAGGCAACTATGGCTTCCTCGGGGAGGGGTCAAGTAAGCAAGTTCACTTATCCACCCCCCCGTGGCTGGAGCACTTCGTGGAGTATGTCATTTGATATTGATACCCCACGAGCTGAACCAGATATGATGAGAGGAGGTCCTTGCCCGAAATTATAGCTCTTCCAGAGTATATTTCGACAGCAGAAAAGTTATGGTTCGAGCTTTCAGCTCGTGGAGGCAGAGCGTTTTCTGTTTGTTGGTTTCTACATAAGGTGAGTTGTCAGTCCGGAAGTATCGTGCCTGGCAGTCTGTTCAGATACATGTAGTGGAGCAAGGTCCATTCGAGATAGATAGAGAGAAGAATATAGCTTAGGTCCATTCTTGGGATTGCACCTCGGACGGCTCTCAAATCACGATTCCAAAATCCGAACCCATAACTTTTTCCACAGATGGCAGGGACGTCGCAGAAGGATATAATCTCAGCAGAGTCTCATCAGAAGCATAGTGTTCCCCTCGTGGCTGAGGATGAAAGAGCATCAGATTTTGCCACTGGTAACTGGTCCATTGGACCACAAGATGACAAATTGGAGAAGGGGCCTACCCGACCCACATCTTAGGAAAAATGCGTGGCTGTTCTCCGCTGTTGATCTGCACACATCAGCGGCGGATATCCTCTGCCCGTTTTTCTTAAGAAATGGGGTCCTGGCCAATCTTTGCCGCTGATCTGCGACAATCAGCGGCCAAGATTGGCCACTTTCTGGATCTGGAAAATCCGGGCCTACAGGACCCAGTTTTGAAATTGTGGGGCAGGGCCCACCCCCACGAGGCCTCGGGAACACGTACGCGCCGGAAAAAAAAAAAAAATTCAGCCCCCAGCGAAAATGCGCTGGGGGGCTTGACCAGTGCCGGAGACACTAAAGACGAAGGAGATAGGTTTAAGAAGTAGATGAGACTTAAGGATATAGGAGGCATCTGGTGGTAGGTGCAAAAAAGAGCGTTGAACAGAAAAGGAGATTGATATGAGGGTGAGTGTAAGAGGCATTCGGTGGTAGGTGCAAAAAAGAGCGTTGAATAGAGAAGGAGATTGATATGCGTGCAAGGCCACTGCCTCTATGAGCCTCATTCGGCCCCATTTTGGAGAATGTCGGCCGCCCTAAGTGAAGGCAGGCTCGACGAGGCCCTCAGGGCCCTATTTTGGCCACGGCGCAACTAAAGAAATTCAGGCAGTTGCGCAGCGCCAGTTGGTTGAGAGAACCCAGGCCCTGGGCCGCCTGTGTGAATGTATGGGAAGCAGGCCCAGGGCTGGATACGGGTACTGGGCCAAACACAGGCCAAAGGCAGTTGGGCGCATGCAACCACCTCAGGCCCAAGGCCTGTTCTCGTTCGTGCTGGGCCCAGGCTACCGGGGCCTACTGGAAGCTTCCTGGGACCGAACGCAGGCAGGCGACTTCGATATAGCAAAGGGTCTGCCTCCACATTGGGCATTCGGGTGCTGGCTGCATGCTGCGCAAGCGCTGCTGCGCTGAAGCTCGCTGGCACTCACGCACTCACGGGCGAGCAGGAAGGAGCAGGCAGCCATAGCCGAGCTGCGCTGCTGTAAGCTGTGTGTGGCGCAGGGTGGTCATTGGGTGCAAGTGGCATCTGTGTGTTGGGGAATGAGGTTGTGAGTGAGGCGAGAGACATACCTGGTGCTGGAAGCGTGCGACATTGGTCGCTGTATGCTCGTACTTCGGGAAAGCCGTTGACGTCATCATTMGGCATTGTAGTCTAGGCTAGATAGGAKMTGCCATCTGTAGTCTGGGMGCCGAGCGCCAGATAGGATATCAACATTGGTTCTTCATTGATGATGATGATGAGACTTTACCAGCATTGTCAATTATGAGCTCTTGGTGTCTTCTTATTTGGTGAAACTCGTGATGCAATTCTGCTGTAGGTTCGAGGTCACGACTATCTGGTCTTGTGTATATGATGCTGTTTGATTGCTGAAGTTTGCTATTCCTCATCTTCCTTGCAATTTGGTATCGGAGCTGTGGTACGATTGCGCTCATCTGGCGCTTGTCTTCTGCCTAATGCGGTACATACATGCAGTCTGCTTGGTGAGTTGGGCCGTAAGTGGTGTGTAGTGAGGAGGGCGGAGACGAGTGAGTGGCAACCCAGGAGGTGAGGGGATCGCCAGGAAGGCTATGTGGTGTAATGTGGGTCTGGACAGTGTGATGAGAACTATCTGATGTGCGATTGGTGCTGAGGTGGAACGGCGTGCAATGCTGGTTGTGCCGAAGCGATGACTGGTCATCACATTTGGCATCAGGTCATCTGGTGAGATTATCTCTGTGGTTGGGGGCAGCTATTTGAGGTACATTGCTCTTAACCTTATCTACCCTCTTCGACACTTCTCCGTGAGGTTGTGTGTTCCTTCTTGAGAGTCCTCTCGCGAGGCCAATGCCTCTATGAGCCCCTTTTTGCCCCATTTTGAAGCAAGTCGGCCGCCCTAAGTGAAGGCAGGCTCGATGAGGCCCTCAGGGCCAGGAAATTCAGGCAGTTGCGCAGCGCCAGTCGGTTGAGAGAACCCAGGCCCTGGGCCGCCTGTGTGAATGAATGGAAAGCAGGCCCTGGGCTGGATACGGGTACTGGGCCGAACACAGGCCAAAGGCAGTTGGGCTCATGCAACCACTTCAGGCCCAAGGCCTGTTCTCGTTCGTGYTGGGCCTCAGGCTACCGGGGCCTACTGGAAGCTTCCTGGGACTGGACGCAGGCAGGCCACTTCGATATAGCAAAGGGCCTGCCTCCGCATTCGCCATTCGGGTGCTGGCTGCATGCTGCGCAAGCGCTGCTGCGCTATTTGCTGGCTGGCGYCTACGCGCTCACGGGCGAGCAGRKAAGGAGCASGCAGCCATAGCCGAGCTGCGCTGYTGTAAGCTGGGTGTGGCGCAGGGTGGTCCTTGGGTGCTAGTGGCATCTGTGTGTTGGGGAACGAGGTTGTGAGTGAAGCGAGAGACATAMCTGGTGCTGGAAGCGTGSRACATAGGTCGTTGTATGCTCGTACTTCGGGAGAGCTGTTGTCGTCAACTTCGGCATTGTAGTATAGGCTAGATAGGATCTGCCACATGTAGTTTGGGCGTCGAGCGCCAGATAGGATATCAACTCTGGTTCTTCGTTGATGATGATGGGACTATTTCAGCATTGTCAATTATGAACTCTTGGTGTGTTCTTATTTGGTGAATCTCATGATGCAATTCTGCTGTTGGTTCGAGGTCACGACTATCTGGACTCATATGTATGATGCTGTTTGATTGCTGAAGTTCGCTATTGCTCATCTTCCTTGCAATTTGGTATCGGAGCTGTGGTACGATTGCGCTCATCCGGCGCTTGTCTTCTGCCTTATGCGGTACATACATGTGGTCTGCTTGGCGAGTTTGGCCGTAAGTGGTGTGTAGTGAGGAGGGCGAAGACGAGTGATAGGCGACCAAGGAGGTGAGGGGATAGCCAGGAAGGCTACGTGGGGGTAATGTGGTCTGGACAGTGTGATGAGAACTATCTAATGTGCGATTGATGCTGAGGTGGAACGGCGAGATAATGCTGGTTGTGCCAATGCAGTGACTGGTCATCGCAATCGCCATAAGGTCATCTGGTGAGATTATTTCTATGGTTGGGGGCAGCTATTTGAGGTACGTTGCTCTTAACCTTATCTACCCTCTTCGACACTTCTTACCGTGAGGTTGTGTGTTCCTTCTTGAGAATCCTCTCATTGTGAGGTGTCGAGTGCGCTCAACCTTGAGAGTCGGCAATGTTCATGTGGAGCATCTAGGAGAAGATGGGAGGAGCTTTCTGAAGGACCCAGGACGAAGCACTGGGTCACGGTCACCATGCCAACCCACCGGGAGTAGAGCACGCATGCTTTGCGGCTTGTCCTTTGTTTGGCTTGCTGCGCTGTTAGATGGGTACTGAAGGGCAGGCCATCCCTTAAGGGAGATGAGACCGGGTGTCTTTAAATAAGCACCGGGAGGGGAACCATTGGCTGTGATCGTTGTCCGGTTGCGACTTTAAATAATTCCTGGAGTCACTTGGGGGCGGACGTTGGGTTGCCTCTGGATCAGCCAATGGTTGTAAGGCTCGCTGCACGCGAGGATAATCCAGTGCAGGGCTGGCCAGCTCAGCAGATACTCGGGGCACATGGGTGGGCCGGACACACACCTTTTAGACACGCAACGCCTCCAGATTGCTCAGGGATGCTGACGTCAAGTGATACTCAGGGGAACTAAGGGAGGGGTAGATTTCAGGTGATAAAGTTCGAGAAAATTCCATGATGTCCTATCCACACAAATGATTCTATTTTTATGTTTTGATTAGTTAGGTGTACAGCCATTGATATTTGACAGACAACATTAGTTAGAACTGTTTCTTGTTCATGGTGTTTCTGTTTGCGGACTAACTAAAAATAGTTTTATTTGTAGGATTCTGGCTTTCCTGTCGGGCCCGAATGTAAAGTCTCCGAAATAACCACCAGTTAATTGGTCTGTGCACTACGCTGCGGTAGGCATTTAGATTGCACTAGTGCATATTGTGTACAGGGTTGTAGCTTATGAGCGACGAGGAGGACACTGGAGAGGACGACTGGAGGATCTTGCGATCGGCTAGACGCCCAATTGCCCACTTGGCATTAGGACCAGAGGACGACAGATATCTGTTCTGCCAACTTAGAGAGAGGCAGCAGCAGCAGAGGAGGGCTAGAGCAGCAGAGGCTACCAGGGCACTTGTGAGTGAGGCCGCAGCTTCGGAAGCCATGGCCACTTCTGCGCAGCAGACTACTCAGGCCGGTAGTTCAGGGTTTGTCCGGTCAACGGTCGTAATGGCAAGCCAACCAATAGTGTTGACATCCGACGAGATCGCCATACAACAAGCAGCATTGCAGGAGGCACAGCTACAGAAGGCGTTAGGAGATGTCAAAGCGGTGAAAGAAAGAATGATTAGAAAAAGAGCCAGGATGCAACGGAGACAAGCGGACGTTAGTGAGTTAGAGGAGATGGACCTGATGCACGTTGTCAAGACTGGTGAGTCCCGAATGATTTCCCGTCACTCGAGAGACTATATATGACCAATTTGTGCACGACAAAGAAAACCGGAGGCAGGAATGTTGGAAAGAGCGGAAGCATAGGCACGGACAGTAGGAAGCTAGAGGCTGCCCAGAGTCGTCGGGGCCACCAAACTAGAAAGGGGTTGTCTAAGCAGGAAGCGGCAAAAGGACTGTGAGAGAACAGCAGGGGCGACTCTTTCCCCAAGAACGGAGAAGGGCTGCCGGGAAGTCGATAGTAGCATAGGAGGTGTGTAGTAATGGAAGGAAGGAAGTGGGAAGGGACAGGGCGCAAGGCGCTGACGCGACGCGGCGGCAGGAGGGCCAGGAAAACCGCAGGGTAGGTGGGAGCCGGCACCCGGAACGGAATAACATGTGGGACGCAATAGGAGCTGGGGGCGGAGGTCGCTATAAGGCGGAAGGACGACAGGAGCACCTAGGAAAGACGTGGTACGGGGGGGGCAGGAGTGTCGGGGACCGCATGGGATCGAAGGACGTTGCTGTACCAACAGGACAAAGTGTCGGGGACCACGCGGGACCAAGGGACGGCGTGGTGCCGGCAGGGCAAAGTACCGGGAACCGCGTGAGACCAAGGGAAAGACGTAATGTAGGCGGACCGAAGTGCCAGGGACCGCGGGGGCCCAGACAAAATGGCGGCACCAGCGGGACCACTAGCAAGACGGGTATCGATGGTATAAAGTGTCGGGAGCCGCCAGCGGGGGTTGAAGGTCGGAGCCATCGGCGGAATAATCGGCGACCATCCCAAGGAGGAGGGCGCGCGAGAACGGGTCGTCAATCTGGATGACGCCGGAGAAAGGGGAGGGGCTAGGAATGATAAGAAAAAGAGGAGAATTCGGGCGCTGACGGAAGTTGTCAACGGAATGGAGGAGATGGGCGTGAGACGGGAAAAACGGAGGGTACCCGGGGTGACCCAAGGGGACCCTGGATCAAGTGCGACAACGATAAAAGTAAAATAACATAATATCAGGTGGACGAGACCGCCCAGGCCAGGGGTCTGGATAAAAATGATGAGTGCCGCCGCGGCAAGCGCCGGCGGGAGGTGCCAAGGGGAAATGAGGGGGGGGATAAAGGTAGAGGAGGCCGGCCAGCAGTCCGGGTTATTCCGGACCGGCCAGGCCGAGAAAAATGAAGTTCCGAAGGCTCCACGTGGAGAGAAGGCTGGCTGGAGAAAATCGGAGCAAGAGGGTTTCAAACTGGAAGCGGCGGCAACAAAAAGGAGCCTCCTTGGACCTCGGAGGTGCCACTACTGCAGTCCGAGGTGTAACGACCATATGTCGGCTGCAAAATCAGGCCTTGGGTAGGGTCCAACAGCTAGAAAGAGGAGAAACAGTTGTTGGACGCTTGGCCCAACAGAAATAAGGGAGGAAGGAGAGAAAAAGGGGAGAAAAAGGTGGAGAATGAGACAAAGGGGGAGGAATGAGTGGAGGAAAAAGTGCCGCCAGGTTGGGACTGCAGCGGTAGGGACTGGCAGGTCTCAATGATGACCTCATCCCTCCTAGGGCAGTCCGGATTGCAAAGATAAGGTCCTTGGGGCATTATCTCTGCAATATCTTAATTTAAGCAACAAAAATAAAGGAAAATGCTGATGTGAGTTGGCCGGCTCATTTTTGGGCCTTAGATCTGAAATCTGATCTTGCGGAGGAGGAGATCTAGCCGTTTTTTGTGGGCTGACACAAAACGGCTAGCTCCGGAATGAGTTGGCTGCAAAAATGGAGGGAAAGCAAAGAGAGGAACAAGACAAAACTGCGAATTTGGCCGAAGGTTTGAGCCAGGTACATCAAAAAAATTAAAAATTGGAGCAAAAGACTCAAAATTGGAGCAAGGGGGGGCTTGGAGTAACTCGGAATGATGAGAACCATAGATCTCAGCCAAATCCAAGGCTGAGATCTGAGCCGCCACTTGGAAAAATGCAACGGCCTACCCAAAGGAGGCCTAGACCAAGAAAAAGGCGAAAAATGGGCCTTGAGGCCCTCAATTTTCAGTAAAGGTTGCATTTTGGAAAAGGGTACCCCAAAGGGCAGCATTTTTGGAGGTAAAAAGAGGCCGGGGTAGGCCAAGGGGTAGTCCGAGAGGGTACCAGCCTCTCGGACTGCATGTACCTGGCCAAAATGAGGCCCAGGTACCCTCAGAGAGGCCAAAACCGAAAATTTGACCTTTGGGGTACCTCACTCCACCTAGAGGCAATTGGAGGGGCCTAGAGGTTGGGCGGTGCACCTGTTCCAGCCTATATAAGCTGGAGGTGTAGGCCGCAACTCTCATTTGAGCATGAGAGGTGCCCATGCTGCCCAAATGAGTCCGTGAGTGAGTACTAGTGAGATAGAGCAAGGAAATGAGAGCCGGAGCTAGCTTGTAGCCTGGCTATGGTGGTAAGGCTAAGAAAGGTGACCTAGAGGCTAGGAGGGAGCAAGGAGAGTGGTCCGCCATAGCCCTCAGGCTGTGAAGTAAAAGGATAGGTTGAAAGCGGTACTTAACCAGTGGGCTTGCCTACAAAGTAGCAAAAAAAACGTATACTTATTTAGACAAACAAAAGAGTTTGTTATTATTAGTGGAGAAAAGATTGGACATTCTTCTTGTACGTATGAATTTTTGCTCCCCATAGCCCTTCTAGAGGGAAGGACTCCACAGCCTTGAAAGTAGGAACCTGCCATAGCTAAAGGAGAAGTGTGAGGGAAGGAGGAGAGAGCTTGGGGGAGAGGAAAAGCCATACTCAGGAGGCTAGGACTAAGCATTGGGGCTCCACTGCCTAGAGACCAGCGAGAGGTGAGTGAAAGAGGAGGGGGGCCTCCTCCTCCTTCTTCTTTTTCTTCTTCTTCTTCTTCTTCTTCTTTTTCCTCCTCTTCCCTTTTTTCTCTCCTTCTTCTTTCTTCCTCTTCTTCTTCTTCTTCTTCTTTTTCTTCTTCTCCCTTTTCTTTTCTTTCTCCCTCTCCTCCTCCTCCCCCTCCTCCTCTTGTCAAAACTGCGATTTTTGCTGATTTGGGTGGATGTATGTGTTGCGCCTCACCTTGGGATACTTCGGTGATGTTTCCCCTAGTATAGATGATGTCAAACTTGTCATTTTGTTGATTTGGGTGCTGGGGTGTGCTGCGCTTCATCTTGGGATGTTGCGGTGATGTTTCCCCTAGTGTAGATGATGTCAATCTTGTCATTTTGTTGATTTGGGTGCTGGGTTGTGTTGCACTTTATCTTGTGATACTTCGGTGATGTTTCCCCTAGTGTAGATGATGTCAAACTTGTCATTTTGTTGATTTGGGTGCTGGGGTGTGTTG